ACTGTACTAACCAAAAATTTGTATCGGGCCTTTTTAATGGGATTGAACTAAGTATCTGAATGTATGGGCTATAATCGCTTCAAATATTACCATTTTGGATATCACGACATTGTCACGAGACGAATTACTCGCACCGTCTCTAGTGGACTGCCGTCTCCACCTGCCTGTGGTACTATCAGTTACTTCACGAGTCGTGTACGTGAAACGGTAAATCGCTTCTGCCCAGCCACGCAGTCATTGTTGTCATATGATAACCCACATAAGGCCGTAGTAATAACAACGCAAGGCCATTGAGAGATAGGGCCAAGGCGGAAATCGATCCAATTTAGGAGTTCACCCTGCTGAACACTTGGCGTGGTGTGAAGCTCGCCTTCTGATTGGTGCTTGATAGTTGACTCGGTTAATTATGGATTCCGGTGGGTCCAATAGTAGGCCCAGATCAGACTGTCAATAGCTGGGCCTGTAGGATGATGACGTGAAGACTGTTTAATGGTGAATGGGGCTTAGAGGGAGAGTTGTCGGTGTAGCCGGGCGACTAAACTCAGCGTCGCGGCACCTGGGCAAACCGATGCTGTGAGTAGTCAGTCCGGTCCGCCGATGGTAGACCGCCCTGGCCTGACCTGATTGGCCTACGCAAGCCTATCCAATCGGTGAGTTGCTCCAAAACTGACGTGCCCATCGTGTGAAGAGACTTCACAATCCTCCCATGCGATGCTTGTCGCGTTTCTCTCTCCCAATACACAATTCACCCTCCCCTTGACTTGGCAATACCGCCAGCCCCATCCTCATTTTGTGATAAACTTTTATTCATCTCCATCCTTCCCACTCTCAGGCTGAACAATCTGGCCAAGGTCCATAACCACAAACGACTGCTGAGGTGTTTTCTTACGGAATGGCTTTTGGTCGTTAAGACAAGAAAGGTAGGTCTGCAAATGAAGCATAATTTGCCTGTGACTAAGTTCCTTAATCTTACATCTGTTGCATCTTTCTCGGAGCCATCCTGTCAAGAGGTGCTGCTACGACACCATAAACTAAGAAGACCCCATGCAGGGATCGGGGATTGCAATAGTTGTCTTTGTTGTACCGAAAAAAAAGACGACCAGCAACTGCGGCACTATCCAACCGGAAAAGGTACCTTCTCTATTTGCCCCTTTCGCTCGTGCTGCTGCTCCTGACACCGGATTGGTCGTTGTGAAAGTGTGCTCCTGCACACGTGGATTGATGAGAGAGATAAGTGAAGGATGAAGGCTTGGTCACTTGGAGGAGAGTATCTCGCCTTCATCCTCTGCCACGTTAGTCATGATAATTTCCAGTGCCTTGAGTTGGTACATTCCCAGACGTTTCCCGGGCACCTCAGTCAGCAGCATCATTGAGCCTTGCCGGTATTAGGCATAGTTTACAACACCTCAGATGGGGGGGGGAGGGAGACACGAGACTGTGGCGCAGGTGGATGCGATAGGACGGAGCCAAAGGAGGCACCACAGTTGTTTAGCGGAAAGTTTTATATGCAATGGCTTCTGATGCGTCGTAGCTTATTTTTCGTTTGGGTAAATTTTCGAGACGACTACATGCGATGTATTCACTCTGTTTCGCTAGGGTGATGAAGGATGATGGTAGTTGAATTGTACCACAATGATATGAGCAGACTGCGTTCCCGTTGAATACCTCTCATATGTGATCTGCTGGTAGCCTGAAAACCAGTTTATAAACGAAAAATAAGCGATGTAATCGAAGGTATGAAGACCAAGATGGTGTGACCGTTTGTGTGATCGCAGTCTCCTTTCGTTGTATAAAAGTTGTTTGACCTTGTTTTTGCAAATCGGTCATTTTGGTAGGAAGACTTAGAAGAACTCACCTAGTCCAGAGTCCATTGTATGCATCATCGTTTCCATGGTAGGACCGTGGACGTGGTACATTCCCAGACGTTTTGCCGGCATCGTCAGTGAGTATTTGATGAGTTGTATTATGGTGCTACGAATGGCGAGACTCACTGACGATGCCGACTACGATGCCTACGAAACGTCTGGGAATGTACTATGTCCACAGTTCAACTTTGGAAATGATCATGCATACAATGGACTCTGGACTAGGTGTATTCCTCTAAGTCTTCCCACCAAAATGACCGAATTGCGAAAATAAGGTCAAACAACTTTTATACAACGAAAGGAGACTGCGATCACACAAACGGCCACACCATCTTGGTCTTC